GATCAAGGCTCCAGCAGGTTCGGTGTCTGGCAAGCAGTGCCCTCTGCTTCCAAGATGGTGCCTTCCTCCCAAGCAGGTCTTTATGCCTCATGTAAATGCTCACCACAGGGTGATCGCAGTAGGGGAGGACTTTAATAATCAAGTGGATGGAAGGACCTGTTCTGTAGACATCACTCAGCCTCTTTCCCCAGCCACCCCATCATAGCCCAGTGGGCTCAAGAACAAAGTGGCCATGGTGGGCCAGGCATGGTGGCTCACACCTGTAATCCTAGCACTCTGGGAGGCCGAGGCAGGTGGATTGCTCGAGGTCAGGAGTTCGAAACCAGCCTACTAAACCATCTCTACTAAAAATAGAAAGAAATTAATTGACCAACTAAAAATATATATACAAAAAATTAGCCAGGCATGGTGGCACATGCTTGTAGTCCCAGCTACTCGGGAGGCTGAGGCAGTAAGATCGCTTGAGGCCAGAAGGTTGAGGTTGCTGTGAGCTAGGCTGATGCCACTGCACTCACTCCAGCCTGGGCAACAAAGTGAGACTCTGTCTCAAAACAAACAAAAACAAAAACAAAAAAACCCACAAAGTGGCCACAGTGGCAGGGGTGGAGGTGACGCATAGGGTCAGCAACACAGACGTGCACTCACCAAGGAAGAACTGGCCGTGGCTAGCGCTGAGTGCCCAGGCTGCCAACAGCAGAGACCAACACTGAGCCCTCAATATGGCACCATTCCTCAGGGCAATCAGGCAGCAACCTGGTGGCAGGTTGATTACACTGGGCCACTTCCATCACGGAAGGGGCAGTGTTTTGTCCTTACTAGAACAGACACTTGCTCTGGATGTGCATTTTCCTTTCCTGCATGTAATGCTTCTGACAAAACTGCCATCTGTGGACTCACAGGATGCCTTATCCACTCCCATGGTATTCCATACAGCACTGCTTCCAACCAACAAACTCGCTTCACAGCCAAAGATGTGCAGCAGTGGCTCACACCTGTGATATTCACTGGTCTGGCCATGTTCCGCCATCCTGAAGCAGCTGGCTTCATAGAATGGTGCAGTGGTCTTTTGAAGTCACAGTTACAGCACCAGTCAGGTGACAGTGCTCTACAAGGCTAGAGCACAGTTCTCCAGAAGGCTGTGTATGCTCTAAATCAGCATCCAGTATATGGAACTGTTTCTTCCATGGCTGGGATGCAGGGGTCCAGGAATCAAGAGGTGGAATGGGAGTGGCACCGGCACCATCACCATCACCACTGGTGACCCACTAGCAAAACGTTTGCTTCCTAGTCCGATGATACTATGTTCTGCTGGCTATGGAGGTCTTAATTCCAGCAGGAGGAGTACTTCCACCAGTAGGCACAACAGCGATTCCACTGAACTGAAAAATCAAGACTGCCACCTGGCCACTTTGGGCCCCTCATGCCTCTGAGTCAGCAGGCTAAGAAGGGATTTACGGTGTTGGCCGGGGTGACTGACCAGACTAGCAAGGGCAGAGTGGACCATACTCCCCAGTGGAGGTGAGGAAGAGCAGGAGACCTGGAATACAGGAGACCTCTTCATCTCTTAGAATTATTCTGTCGTCTAATTAAGGTCAACAGGAGATGCAACAACCCAATCCTGGCAGGACTGAGAGGCCCAGAGCCTCCCGGAATGAAGGTTTGTGTTACTCCTGCAGGTAAAAAACCACAAGCAGCTGAGGTGCTTGCTGCAGGCAGAGGGAACACAGAACGGGTGGCAGAAGAAGGTAGTTATAAATACCAGTGACGACCACGTGACCATTACAGAAACGAGGACTGTAATTGTCATGAGTATTTTCTTCTTGTTTCGTTGAGAACACATGTGTGCACAGACACCTGTATTAAGCGACTATCTTTGTCTTATGCCCTTTCTTATTCCTTTATGTAACGTAAGAATTGCTGACTTCACATCAGCATTTAAGCATTGCTAATTTTACATAACAGTATTTAAGTTAGGGGATTAATGCATTTCTGGCTGGATGAAGGATAGTTGATTTACATCAGGCAGAATTCTGCCCTCGTTATTTTCTTTATCTGGAAACCAAGTCAGATTTAAAGAAAAGCATACGGGGGCCAAGTCAACAAGGGCGTGGTGGACTTGTGACGGTTAATATTAGGTGTCATCTTGGCTGGACTGAGGGGTGCCCAGTGACGCACTGTTTCTGGGTGTGCCTGCGAGGATGTTTCCAGAAGAGACCGAAGTGGAGCAGTGGACTGTGAGGAAGACCCGTCCTCAGTGTGCGGGGACCGTGCGGCCGCCTGCCACACGGCTAGGACAAGCAGGCGGAAGAAGGGGGACACTCGGCTTGCTGAGTTTCTTCTCTCTCTCCCCCAACCTTTTCAGAGTGGGAAGCTTCTTATCCCCCTGCCCTTGGACATCACAGTCCAGGTTCTTTGGCCTCTGGACTCTGGGACTTGCACCGGCGGCTTCTCGGCGCTCTCAGGCCTTCAGCCCGGACGGGGGGCTGCACTGTTGGCTTTCCTGGCTTTGAGGTTTTGGACTCGGACTGAGCCCCGTGCCTGGCTCTGCTCATCCTCTACCCTACATGGGCCTGCCCTCCCGGCTAAACTCCGTTCGGCGTACGTCCCATCCGTCGTGTCTCTCTGAAGAGCTCTGACTGCTGCAGGAAGCGTGCTAATATTTTATATATTTAAACATACAACAAGGGGCGTCCTCATGGCTGGACGTGTGGAGGTTCCTGGAGGGTGGCACCCAGGGAGGGCGCAGAAGCTCTGTGCCCCTCGCCCTACGCTTCGCCCCACGCTTCGCCCTGCGCTTCTCTTCATCCGTGCCTGGTGTGACGTTTTTATAATAAACTGGTAAACACAGTGCAAGAGCAAAATGACACCCAGAGGCAACTTTCTATCGAGAACAGAACGCCAGAACGTTATAAGATGGGATTCTGACCAGTCACCTTTGCAGACAAAGGAAGATAGAAATGGCTCAAAAGAAAATATATTCTGAGGTTTCTCATAGATGTGAAAAAGAAAAAAGAACTGTTGAGTACAAACTGTATACTGCAGGGTGAAATTGCCATGCTGAGACTGGAACAGACACAATAAAAAATCAGAACCAGGAAAAAGAAAAGAAATACTTCAAGGACACTGAAATTGTAAAAGAAAAGAACTATGACCTTCAAAAGAAGATAAAACTGAATGAGGAAACATTAGCAAAAATAGCTTGGCTCTACCAAAAAAAATATCTGTGATTCACAATTTGAGTTTGTTAAAAATGTTCCCCCACTGCTTACCAGGCTTTTTATATTATATTTTGAGAAGTCTGATGCCAGTCTAATTTTCTTGCTTTTTAGTTATTTCATCATTGTGCCTGGAGACTCAGACGACTTTATCTTTAAAATCTAATCATTTTACTAAGATATGTGAAAAGGTGATAATTCCAGGTCTATTTCCCATGGTACCCACTGGGCCCTTTCAATGTATAGAATAAGGTCTCCTTTTATTTCTGGTAATTTAAATATTATTTCTGTCTTTTTGTTCTTCAATCAGGGACTCCAATTACATATGTAATGGACTTCTTTGCCACATTCATCTCAACCACTCTTTTTCTAACCCTTTAACTTCTTTATCCTATTTTCATTTTATTGATTGCTTTCCTAATTTTCCTCCATGTCCCTTATTAAATTTTCATTTGAATTTGTTTACATTTTAATATTTTATAATTTAGTCATAATCTCACATATGAATTTGTCATTTTCTTCTGTTTCTTTTTTGAGTCCATTAAATTCTGGTTTCATTTCTTCCCTTTTGTTGTCCGTTATTTTTTTTTCCTAGTTTTTGAATTTTACATTCAAGATATTTTTCATGTCCCCAAATGTCTGTTGGTCTTCTGGAAGTCAAAGCTCCAGGTTTCTGTTATAATAGAAAGACCAACTTGAAGATGTGGCTATTGTTAATCATGAAGAAGAGGGGTTGACCCTAAATCTTGCAATTATTCAGCCTCATGACTTGGGACAAGCTAGAGAGTTCATCGTGATCAAGGGTGATGTAAGAGTCTCGAAAGGAAAAGGTAACAAGGCTCAAACTGAAAACCACATTTAAGACATCATTGTGCAGTTAGATATTATTGCTAGTAACTATGAATAAAAAAGAAAAGGTGAATATCTGGCAAAAGTGTCAGGTGGAATAGCTGTGGTAAAGATTGACAGCACAAGTGATGCAGGTACAGATGCAATAAATGTTAGACAAGATGTTGCTCAAGATGACATCATCATTGCATTCTTGGAGGTGGCTGTGTTCTGCTTTTGAGCTCACAGTTGTGCTTGGGGTTCACTGAGCTACTTGGTGCTGTAGGCTTATAGATTTCATTCAAATTTGGGAAAATATTTCTTTAAATATTTGTTACATGTCCCTTCTCTTTGGGGACTCCAAATACATATATACAAGGCCACCTGAAATTGTCCCACAAGTTCAGTGATGCTCTGATCATTTTCCGAAATTATTTTTTATCTTTGTGTTTTACTTTGAATAGCTATAACATATACAAGTTCATGATATTTTCTCCTGCAATGTCTAGTTTGCTGTTAATTCCATGGAGCAGGTTTTTCACCTCAGACTATGTAGTTTTCATCCCTACACGTATGGTTTCAGACTTAAGACTGCAAACTCCAACAGTCTACGTCTCCTGAAACTCTCGGCTCCACCCCTCCACTCAGAGTCTGCTGGTCCTGCCTGGAGCCCCTTCCCTCAGCAGTGACGGGGACTCCAACTCCAGGGCAGCCAGCTGGGGCAGCCACCGGCTCACCTCACCTGCACCGCGTCTCTCAGCGACCGCTGCCCTTCGCTGCCTGATGTCTAGTGTCTTCACAACCTGTATTTCATACATTTTGTTCTTTTGAGAGATTGTTTCAGATGGAAGGGTAAATCCCATTCCTGGTACTCTACTTTGGCTGGAAGAAGTACCCGTCATAGTTTTTTTGAATATGTAGAATTTAAAACCATTTAGGATGAGAATGACTCCTTACCTTATTAACGTATCATCATCCACAATGACTAACCATGCTATTTTGTCATGGCTACGATTCAGAAATCTTTCCAAAATGGCAAATGTCTTTCCACAATGACCTGGGAAAGGCAAGAACAAAACTTGAAATGCATTATTTTCTCTACAATATATAGAATTCATTTTTTTTTTTTTAGTTTTAAAAATGTTATAAGTAAAAGCTTGGAAGACAACATGCACCTTAATTTGAAATTTAAAAAAAAATTAGCCTTCTCTAATTTTCATAGATATAATGAACCAGCAGGAACTTTACAGATCATGATGTCTAAGCCATTCATTTCTCACAAGAGGAAATGGAGACCTGGAGAGACTGGGGGGATGACACATGGTCACACAGATAAGCTGAGGCAGAGACAGAATCAGTATCTTCAGTCCAGACAAACAAGAAAGTTGTAAGCCCCACAGCAATTGTAGAAGCCTGGCAGCTTTTCTTAGATATGCTTATTCTGAAGGAACTGTCAGAACTCTGCAACCACAGGCAAGCAACGGTGCAAAAGTAGAAGATTATACCTTCATTTATTTTGTAAATATTTACTACCAAGTTTCTAACATGCCAGGCGGTGTGGCAGGTGCTAAGATATGCACTAAAGATATGTTGTTTAATAGCAGGCACCCTTCAAATGCCAACAGATAAATTACAATGCTTTAATGATAAATGCCTGGACTGAGGTAAGATTAAAACGATTGGGAAGAGAACTCAAGTTGATAGATAGGAACATGCCCCTCATTTGACTAATCATTTGGTGACTGAGTGGAGAACAAACTAATATTAACTTATATTAATTAACATTAAATTATTCTATTTGACCTTTATTTTCCTTATTCTTGATCTCTTTATTTTTAACTGTTACAATATATATTTTTGAAAGCCATCTCAAATTCCTTTTTGGAATAAAATTAAATATAAATATAGGTAATAATAAAGTCAGACTAGAACTGAAGAAATTAAATAAGGAATGCATGAATAAATAAATGATTATTAAAGCCAATCTAAAAAGTCTCAAAAAGAGACTTAAAGGTTAACAAGGTTAACCTTTGTGAGGTTAACAAGAAAAAAAAAAAAAAAGAAAATTCCATCTAAAATAGTTTTTCCAAAATAAATAGCAACTGACTCAGTAATTTCCTTAACCTTGTGGGAAGACCTGAAAACTACTGGAATGGCATATCTAATTATACACTGTACTATAATAATCAAGGAATTATGAGTGACACTAACATAAAATAATCAAGATAAATTATAGAACAAACTAATCAGCTTGCTACTTTTATTTTTTAATTCATAAAATATCATGGATGAACCAAAAACTAAAGAATCATGTTCACACTATATCTTTAGTTTTTGGTCCTCCATAATAAAACAGATAAAAATTAAGATAAATAACACCTGAAGATGAAATGGCCAAATTTGCACTTCCATTTTTTCAAATAAAAAGGTTTTTAAATAGAAGACCTACAATCTGAAGAGATAAGCAGGTATACTTCCAACAATTTACTAATTAGATATAACATACATAACAGAGCTTACTCTACATATAGCCAATATAGAATGTGGTTAGGTGCTAATCAGAGATACATACAAAATGTGAACTAGACTATAAGGCTTTTGAGGATAAAAGCTTTGTGTGGGGTAAATTAACTTTGGATGCCTCATTATGGCTGCAAGGAAGGTATGAAAAATCTACCATTAAACTCTATTGTAACTGTCATGGGCTCGATTATAGCAACATAACCTACTAAAAATGTGCAACCGTTTGTACTGTAAAACCCTTAATTTGAAGGAACTAGTCTATATCTGTGAGTAAATATGTTGGGTGGGGGAAGAAGGAAAAAAACTTATATGAAACAAAAGATTATAGTACTTATAAAATATTTCATTTTTATCCTAACTTAATTTACTATATTTACAGAATGGGGATTTTTAATAAGGAGAGCAGTAAGACTTAAGGACCCACCTCTGTCTGTATTAGGAATGCCCAAATCCACAGTAGGAATGGAGCTTTCAGCATGGTCACTGTAGTACTCGATGAGACTTGCCTGGCCCTCCCAAGTCTGCTTGACGATGGGTACTGAAAAAATTACAGAGGTGACAATCACCGGCACAATTACATAGGCAACCTTGAAAACTCAAAAGGGGAGTACAATCGCCTACAAAGGAAGAGAAACATTACTTGCTCTTCAGGTACTCCAAGACTCAGAGCTTGCTTTCAACCCTGGGAAATGCCAACACTGCTGAGGACAGCATGACTAGAACCCTCTTTTAGGAGCATTTGCAATATCCTCCACAGTCAATTATTTCTCATTCCTGGTGATAAATATACTTACTTCCATACAGTCATAAGTTTTCTAGTTTGATTATACTGTTGTGTTTAAATTAATTTTAGCTAATTTTTCTCTTTTCCCAACAGGTTAATTCATTTAACATACCCACAAGTGGATATTTAAAATGTGTTCTGGGGCAGGTGGGGAATATAAATACCTCTAAGGATGTTAATCTTCATTGTGGTTCTAGCTGATATATAAATTCATCCCTCTTACAAAGGAGTGTGGGAAGGCCTTTGCAAACTATGCATGTCCCCACCCAAAGATTCTAACAGGACCATCCACCCCTACAAAGGATACGATCTTGGCATCAAGAACTACTGCACACAATGGGTGGTATTATGATGTGCTTTTGAAAAGAGTGCAAGAAGTAAGATTGAGAACCACTGCAGACTTTAAAACTCTATCATTAACAGATAAATTGTTTTAACATAATAAACATAAACAACAGAAAACTTTCCTGGTATTCTGCATTTTAGGTTTAGATGCTCAAAGGTAGGTCTGTCTGCATACCTAGCATTCAGACTGATCACTACTTAATTCACCTGACCAATTCTCCAAGTAATTATCTTCTTCTATACTTTGTAAAAAGAATTACTCTCTATGCATCTCTGAATTTTAAAAGGTTTCTGTTTTTGTTTGTTTGTTTTGAGACAGAATCTCACTTTGTTGCCTAGGCTAGAGTGAGTGCCGTGGCGTCAGCCTAGCTCACAGCAACCTCAAACTCCTGGGCTCAAGCAATCCTTCTGCCTCAGCCTCCCAAGTAGCTGGGACTACAGGCATGTGCCACCATGCCCGGCTCATTTTTTCTACATATATTAGTTGGCCAATTATTTTCTTTCTATTTATAGTAGAGACAGGGTCTTGCTCTTGCTCAGGCTGGTTTCGAACTCCTGACCTCGAGCAATCCGCCCACCTTGGCCTTCCAGAGAGCTAGGATTACAGTCGTGAGCCACCGTGCCCGGCCCGGTTTCTGTTGGTTTTTAAACAGAAAATGCCACATTTAGATTTTACACCCTGTTAAGCATCTAAACTCTGATGAACCAAATTTTCACTTAACTTTTTCAGACTTTATCAGATCACGTAACTTTCTCTTTTTCCAGGCCCAAATCAAAACAAATTATATGCAAAAGCTGACACTGCAATGTGAAATTTCAGTGTTTAGCTGCATACATCAGCAAATTCTGAGTCTAGCTCAGAAAGCCCGTATATATAAAATATAAAAGTACATCATTTTCTAATCCATTATTCACTGGCTTTAAAAAGAAAAAAACAATGATCAATTCTGGACATTTGCTAAAATTATCACCAAATTACCCATTCAATATTATTTTCATACAATATAATTTTTCTGCAACCACAGAAAGGGATATAGTTCTAAGTATTTCCCTGTGTCAAAATGGTCAAAGTCGCACTAAATAATAGATAGAGTTGCTGGAGGACAAGAAAAGAAAAAGAAATTGTTAAAAACCTCACTCTGAAAAAAAAAAGACAAAAAAAAAAACAAAAAACCTCACTCTGTTTTACTTCCAAATTTCAGTAGAACAAAAATCTCAACCCAGGCAGTGCAGTGGCAGTCTTATTATTTGCTTTGCATATAATAAGAGAGCTTACCCCAGAAAGGGCTCCCTGCAGTTTGCAGCCACTGAAAGTTCACACACTTGGGTTAAATGTCCTGCACTGCATAATGCTGGAAGCAGCTGCGAGGAAAGGTTAAGAACTTTCCTCAGTCCCTAGCATGGGCCCTGCAGGCTGTGCAAACGCTGCTTTCAATTCCTCAGCCATTAGGCCTTCAGTCCTTTTTGCTCTAATAGGTTTATTAAACAGCACAGGTGTTTCTTCTCAATTAGCTTAATGACTTAAATGAAGTTAAAATCAAGTATGAGTTAGCTCTTCAATTGCTATACCTAACTACACCCTTTCAGGTTTAATTTGAAAGAGGTGAAACAGATATTATACTAAAGGTAACAATTACTATGTGCGTGACTCATTCCCCAACACCTGGCACAGGGCCGAGGCCATACTAGGTGCTCAATAAATACTTGAATGAGGACTGAAACTTTATAGGAGTTTCAATAAAAAGCCTAGGGCTATTTTTGGAAACTAGTTTAAGGAAGGTTTTATTCATAATGGCAATTCATCCTTCGGTACAAGACAGGTACAACCATTATCAATCATTTAAAAATAGGCCAAGCAGTTTAAAATAGTATGATTCTATAATACATAAAGTAGTTATTAGCACTTTGTATCATCTCTCCCCTCATTAATATACCTGTGGTTTTGTCCCATCTACTAGCTGTAAAGAATTTAAAGCCAAGGTTAAGTCTTCTATAATAGCAGGTTAAGGGTTTATCTTCAACGAGGGTTGATTCTGAACAGGTTAAACTTTTAAAATATTGGTCTACTTTATTAGCATTATTTAAATTCTAAAATGAATTCATTCTATTATTTACAAAATATTTTATGTTGTACTGAGGCATCGTATTCCTAAAGATATTAAACTTTGAGAAAATACTTCAATACAGCTACATGATATAGTATCTCATTTTCAATAAAGAGAAGCATACTTTTTATCACATAATAAAATAATAGTGAATGCTTCTTTCCAGAAAGTTTGCCACAGGAGAACTTAAAATTGGAACAAAGTTAAAATGTTACTATTAAAAAAACCCCAGCTGCACAGATGGCATAAATCTTCCTTAGAGTTTTCTAGACTCTAAACAGGAGCTGTGTCTCACCATGAGGATAGAACACACATTTTTACCTCCAGGAAACTGACTTGCAAAACTGTCTCAGATTACAAATTACAGTGAACTTGACGCTCGAACACTTCATAAAATCTCAAACACAATCATATGTGAATGGCTGCTTTGATTTTAAGGAATCTGCTCCTTTTGCCTGGCAGATGGACCTTGTGTGTCAGTGTCCACAAAATAAAATCCTGATTGCACTTCTCTTCTCAGGAGAGGGCTCAGGACACACACAACACTGGTGTGCTCCAATTCTAAGACAGAAAAGCTTCCCTTCTGGATGATCTAAAATAACATTCTAGGGCAATCTGGAACATCTGTGATTCAATGGCCAGGGAAACAACCGAAACAGGCAACACCTGACCCCCTCCTCCTCTCTTCAATAATTAATCTAATCACCTCATCTGATTAGAGTGTGGCTTTCCATCTGGCTGCATTTTAATTCAAGCCTCAGCTTTTAAATAAGCAGATTGTGCTGCAGTACCTGTAAGCCTCTTTAATCAGAGAACACCAGCCACCAAACACTCCTTTTAATCAATTTGTTCAGATTTGCCTCTTCTAGACAAGATCACAGCAGTAAAGATAACAAATAGGTTTTAAAAAAAAAAAAAAAAAGGAAAGAAATAAGGTGCTAATTTTTAAGAGCTCAGGGAGCTGTGAAAAGGAACTAAAGGCATAGCAAATGGCAATTTAACCTCTTTAAGTAGAGGGAGACTGCAGGAGGAGAGTGTCTCACAATGCACCATTTGATAAACAAAGACAGGGCTGTCACGAGGTCCATGAGACATGCACATGAACTGCACGGCAAAATGATGCAAAGAAAATTCGTAAGGTTTTCCAACAGCTCAACATCACACTGTATGGCTGGTGGCAGGCCCCCCTCCCCTCCCTAGATCAAAAGGAAAAGGTTCACCAGGCCAGACTTGCCAAGGAGAACTGCCAGGCCCCACTGAAAACAAACAACACCTGTATGTCCACCCAGATAAGAAAGTTTTTGGCTCCTGGATTCCACAAATACCGCCAGCCCTTTCTCAATGCCCACCAAAGGTCTCCCCAGCTCTTCCTGCCAAAAGTCCCTAGCCCAATCCAAACAGTATAAAGGCCCGCACCCCCTCCAAATGGACGTGACTTCTCAGGCTCCCCTCTCTTAGGACCCGCAGACCTCACCAGGGAGCACACAATAAAGTCACATTGTTTGGCCCCACTCTCTCTCCTCTCTCCCTCCCTCTCTCTCGCTCTCTCTCCCTCTCCCCCCCCCCCCATTTCCTTTACCGCTAGAAAACTTTACACACACCATGGAAATCATATAACCCAAGAGGAGATAATCAAGCTGAACATTAAAACTCCAGAGATCTCTGTGCTTAAATATAATTCAACATGCTATTCCTAACTCATCACCTTATATAATACTTACAGTTTCTTTAATATCCTACTACATGCTTGCCTCTCAGTGATGCTGTCTCAATGATGTCAATATGTATTACTTTCTTGAACCAAAAGATAGAATATATTTTTTCTAACAGAATTTATTGTTGCTAACTGTGTCCTAAGAATGCTCTGCTTCATTTAAATCAGAATCCAGACAAAAGCAGTTACATAAATGTTTCATTGTTAGGCAAATAAATAAATATAATATTTAAAGTATTTCTTCATTTTATAACTTGGTTTTATTATCAATTCTTCCATGAGAATATAAAAAAAAAACGAATTCAATGTACATTATCCCTTGCCATGACTTTAATGACTAGAGCCTTAACTGGAGTGTGTTCCCTCCCTCATCCTCATCCCAGGAGGTGACCAGCACTATAATGAACCGGCAGAGGGGGCCATCACTAGTGTCCTCTTCTGCTCAGTGCTTGGGGATAGTGTGCCCACAAGTATCAGTGTAGCCCATTCTCAATTTTCCTAAGATAAATACAGTTTCTTACTCATGTTTTTTTTTCTTCACTGTCATTTAGCCTTTGTTACTTCCAGTATTTCTACCACAGAGTGCACAGGGAAAGAAAAGTCAAAAAAAAAAGAGAGAGAGAAAAAGAAAAACACCCAGTCCGTGTATTCTACGAGAGTGTAGCGGTGACACGCTAAGACAGGAGTGGCAGTCTAGATTCCCAGCTCTACCTGTATTTTAGATCCTGTGCGGGTTTCAGTTCCTTGCCATGCCCATTGCTACTGAAAATGAAAAGCCACTTTCACAGTCAAAACTGACCTTGAGCATAGCAGGGCATCACCATGAATATCTAAGACCATTTATCAAGTGTTGGGTTTGTAACACATCCAAGGAGATTACAGTACAGCGGTGCCATGGTGGAAAGAGTCTGAGAGTTAGGAGCCAGAAAACCAGAGTCCTTGGCTCTCCTACTCAATAGGCAATGAGAAATTGGGCCAGTTGTGTATCATTCCATACTTCCCTACATCATCTCTATAATATCAAGTGAATAACAATAATTATCACATCACAAGGAACTGTTAACATGAAATCAGATGACAGAATGCATGTGAAAAACACACCAGAAAATGTAAAAAAGATTAGCAGTTAGAAGCAGTTATTGTGGCATTGTCATTGTAACTGATGTGATTACTGGACAATTCTTTGGGCCAATTGGTGGCTAGTCCAGACCTCTAAAAGGAGAGGCAGAACCCAATGCCCTATCAGGCTTCATTTCCATCATGCAAAATGGATATCAGGTCCCGAAAATCCTGCAGCCTTAGACTATTTTTTCAAACAAACACATCCAAGTTGAAAGATGGCCTGACACAAAAACCCAACTGTGAAAGCTACATGATACCTTTTAGGTTTCATGTTTCCATGACCCCAAGAATCAAATTAACAGCAGCAAATCAATGCATCTGGCTTTAAGAAGTTTGTTTTTAATAACGCTCCTAATGGGCTTTTTAAAATTTTGTGATTTTTAAAGACCTTTGACTCAAAATTTGAACATAAAAGCATTTCACAGATATCTAAAAAGACTATCTCAACCTTATGCAAAGTAGGAAAGTAGTAAGATTACTCAAAATTACTAAATTCAAATTAAAAAAACTTTTTTTCTTCATTTTTTGTAGGATATGAAAAATACAACAGAAGTATCCTTAATTTTATGGCTTCACTATCACTTGCAAAATGTGTTTCAGAAGAAAAAAATACCACCACCACCACCACCATTCTGAACATTAATATTATGAAAGCAATCACTACTCCAAGGGCAGCTTCAAGATCAATTATATCAATTCAAACACTTCTTCTGCTTGCTGTAAAAGAAGATAAAATAAAATAAAATGCAGTCCAGTTAATTTCCCTGACACCTTTTTAAAAGGATATTTGTCAAAGTCAATTCACAAAGCCCTTCCAGATCACAAAAAAAGCAAAAGGATATTAAATTCAGGCTAAATTTATGATAAATGAAAAATTTATCTATTGATATATTGATTCTTCATAGTGTTTTAGGACTCCTTGTATAACAAATGCATATATTTATTTAGGATGATTTAATAGAATTTGGAATTTAATGTGATTATTTTAGATAAATACAAAGGTTTATAGTTAATGTACTTTTAAGATAGTATAGATTATAACTAGATTTTTATTGATGTTGATGCCTTGGACAATACTTTAATCCTATATTATAATATTATTTTATTTTTAAAATATCTTCCCCTTTAAAATATAATTTGTATATATATTATCACATAAAATACATAAATGAACTTCCCCCCATAGCTCCAATACCATGAAAATGACAGCTGGTTTAGAAATCTCTCCTACATAAATATCATATCCTTGGTGAAATCGACAGTCTTTTCATGGAAAAAAATTAAAATATGTACTAAAATTAGAAAATGCAAAACACTGCCTAATTTTCAATTTCAGACAAGTGCTGCTTAAAATAAGGTACAAAAAGAGAGAAATTATGTCTATTTATATGTAGGATGGTCTTTGTTTTTTTTACATTATCACCATAACTTGGCAGCATCTGTAATGACACCAAAAACTTGAATAAAAACAACATTCGTCTGCATGCCAGGATTTCCTTAAGAAGAGCTCACTGTTTCTAAGGCAGCTTTTTTTTCCCCTCCAATATATCTACTCGTGAGCAAATACATATCTTTATTAAACAGTTCCAATGTGTGCGTTTGAAATAGATATAAAAAGAAGGAACAATCTTCAAGAAAAGAGTCTTTGTTGGCACTGTTACCTGGAAATCTGCTCTAATATTCTTTATACAGTGCAGAGACCGTGCATGGATATAATAGAAAACTGTTTGACAAAACGGATTGTTAATTCACAGCGTCTCCAAGACTGCCACAACTGAGCTTTTCCATTTCCAACCTAAAATACTGCTGTAAACAGCACCGCCTATGAGCTCTCATGTTTCGATACCAAACTGTCCTTCCTAATCGGTCTTGGTGACGGCAGTGGTGCAAGGAGGAATAACGAACTGCTTCCATTTAAACATCTCATTTGTCATTATACCTTTCTTGAGTTTATACCTCGTTTTTATTTTTTTAAATGCAGTTTGGATTTTAAAAGTTCAATAAAAATGAATAACCCCAAACATACTTCTGTCACCATGAAATTTCTTGCATGTTTTTACTGCAACGAAAATATTCTCCTTCTTTACTGGTTCTCCCTAAAAAACAAGAAAAATATATGCACACATGAGTCAGCCTTATCTTAACTTCACACCTACATTAGATCTCACATGCTCTACAGTTCAAATTAACCCATGGTCAGGGATATCAAACCTATTTCCAGGACAAAGTTTTAGGGAAGAAAAGGAACTGTAGTTCAGCTGACAACATAACCTTTGAAGTCAGCCAGCTCTGGACCTGCCTTCCGGCTCTGCCCTGCAGACAGCATCACCTTAACAAGTTTCTTAAGCTCTCAGAAGTTCAGTCTGCTCACTTAGGAAAAGGGAGCAGTAACCACCAAAAGGCTGCTATTATTAATATACATTTACTGAGCACACAGGAAGTGACCAATAAATGTTAGTTAACTTCCTTTCCTTTCTCCAGCTGTGAAGATCTTGACAAACAGAAAGAAGTAGGGGGATCTTGCAGTACAATATAAGAGATGACTCCCTTTTCTGGGCCCAGCCTTACTTTAATGTTGAAAGTATCCCTATGGCCCCTTTACTGGTTACCCAAGTCTAGGCTAAGGATGGTCTGTCCTCCACCAAAGGTAGGGTGACTTCAAGCACCTGGGCGATGGGGTGGGGAGTTCCTGGAGCCAGGCTGATCACACAGATGAAACGGGCACAAGACGGGTTTGTTGACAACAAGGCCTCTGCAGGAGCGGGGCGGGGGGTGTCCTGTTACCTTTATTACCTATCACAGGCCTGTAATAATATCAGTCATAATTCCCACATCATTTGGGGCTGGTTTACAGTGACATCTAGCCACAGCTCTGTCATGTCACTCAAGGCACCAGGAGAGACAGTAAGGGGCAACCATTGCATCTAGAAAGACTGATTTCCCTGCGGGAGACGCACACACGTGACAGATTCTCCCCCACATTACACTGTGTTGCCTTTTAAAACGGCACACACAAACTGCTGTGTGACCGACTCGAGAATAACAAACATTTGAGGGTGGTGAACATATTTTCCTTTATGAAAACTTAACAACCTAGTTAGTTTCAGGGTCTTCAGGCTTACCCTGGACTGGACCAAGGGTCCACCACGACCAGTAAGTTTATTCTGAAAGTCTTAGAGCAGGGGTCCTCAAACTTTTTAAACAGGGGGCCAGTTCACTGTCCCTCAGACCGTCAGAGGGTCGTTGGAGAGTGCGGCGCACATTCCACACATGCCCACTGTGGGCCTGGGACAAGTGGGCCGCTAAGCAGGACAGGCAGCCGCGGCAAAACCACCCGGGGAACCGGATAAATGTCCTCGGCAGGCCGCCATGTGGCCTGCGGGCCATAGTTTGAGGACGCCTGTCCTAGATGGTCGCAGGTGAGATTAAAGGCAGGGTCCCCTGCTGAGAGAGTAAAGGCTTGTGGAGAAGGCTAGGGTGTCACAGAAAATGTTTGAAATTGCCTTTCCAGGAAATGGAACAGAAATTCCAATCAACACATCCTATGTCATCAACCAAACAAATGACTGGGCACATTGGCTCTGAAGCGCTGGGGGGAACAGGACCTCACAGGGGCGCTGGAGCGAGGAACCAGTCAGAACCCTCACTCGCCCCTTCCAGCCACGCAGCCTTGAGCAAGTGGGTACTACCTCCTCTGTGCCTCTCTCTCCTAGGACACACATGAGACGGGCTAACAGCAGCACTTAACTCGCAGTGCTGTTATCACTAGGGACACGACAGATAGACAGTTCTTTGGGCACAGAGCAAAGGTTGATTTTATTACACACAGCACGTAAACGTCCCTTCAATGAGCAAGGAAGTTTTCCTTGCGTTACTTACACAAAGTGGGAGGAAAGAACGGAACGTGGTAGCACAGTTGGAGTCCACGGCAGCTGTGCAGAACTCAGGCACGGGGGTGAGGGCAGGCCCCCCGCCTTTGTCCCAGATGTAGAGGGCAATCTGTGCAAGACAGGAGACAGGCAATGAAGCACTCAGCCACACCGCAAGGGTAAGACAGGACAAAAATTCCTACAGCAAGGCAGAGCACGCCTTCTACAGAGAGCACTAAAATGGACCATGTCGATTTGTCAATATTCGACAGGATTTTTTTCTACTCAAAAAGTAGCAATTCCACGTTGATGGATCTAATCTTTTGTTAACAGTAAGCAATTAACTAGGAATCAATATTCTGACCTCCCAAGACTCCCATGGTCATCGATCAGCGGTTCTGGGGAAGAGCACCTTCTAGGGCAGCATAGAGAGATGTGAGGAATGCCACCAAGGCCCTGCTTTCCTGCCGTGTGGTGACTACACACCCTCAATAGCCAACTTGCTGAAAACATCTGAAAAGGCTGGATCAAATGCCTTTAAATTCATTTTAAATATACTGCAAAATTGGCACAAAAGTATGGAAGCTGTGAGGACAAAAACGTGAAAGTGAGAACCTGGGGGAAGGGCACCCAGTGTGGTTTGGCCAGTAGGCATCAGCTGACCAGGAGAGTGAAGCCTATGACCACCCCACAGTTGGGTGTGGCCAACAGCAAACCCCACATACACCTGGGACCTTGGAGCTAAATGGAGGGAAGAAATAATCTTCAAACCTCCTCTGAGATTTTATAACCAAAGCTGGGCCTCCCTAATTTGTGCCAACTGTGAGGTCCAAAAACACCTCAAACCAAGTAATTGCTAGTGGTCCCAAGTCAGTTTACCCACAGCAGCAGGCAGAATCTCAGCCACCCACAACCTTCACATAGGCCTGAGAGGATTTTTCCAAAGGAACAAGAGTACTCAAGAGAAAAATCACAAAAAGTACAAAGGAAGGAGATGACGAGCAAGAGTCAGCAGACATAATTTAATCAGAACCAAAGACTTCAGATATTGGAATTCTCAAACATAAATTATAAAAATTACTCTGCTTAATATATTTTTATAAAGAAAACTTTAAAACATGAGCAAAATTATTTTTAAAACTGTTACACAAAGCAAATTTGAAACATAACTGAACAAAATGTCTAGAAATAAAAAGTATTAATAATTAATGTAAAAAATAATGTAGGATATATAGCATATTAGACACAGCTGTATAAAAATTTAGGGAACTAAAGAATGAAGCCCCTTAACATTCTCTAAAAGGTAGCACAGCAAAAAATATAGATGGAAAATGTAAAAGAAGTTCATACCTCTAGCATACATCTAAAGTTCCAGGAGGAGGCAACAGAGAAAATAGAGATGAGAACATAGTTGAAAAGATAATGGCTGAGAATTTTCAAATATTGCTTAATAATCCTATTATAGAAGAACCCAATGAATCCTAAGCAGGATTAGAAAAAACAGTCTACATCTAGATATAGCTTAGTGAAACTGTGAAATATCAAAGACAAAAGAATCTTAAAAGTTGGCAGAAAAATGATAAATTACCTGCAAAGGAACCACATTCGACTAAGGACTGATTTCTCAGCACTACAATAACAGAAGCCAGAATATAGTGAAATCACACCATTGGGATTAGAGAAAATGACTGACAATCTAGGATGGTATGCATGATGGCACTGTGCTTCAAGAACAAAGCTGAAATGAATATTTTGAAGGATAAAAAGCTGAGAGAACTTACCACCTCACTAAACTAAATTCTAAAGGATATATTTCAGGAAGAATAAAAATGATCCCAATTGGAAGGTCTAAGAAGCAAGGTAGAATGGTAAGAAAAACACTGGCAAATCTATGATATAGCTAATACAAATGTTAACTGCATAAAGTCATGATGATACCTAAGTTTCAGGGTGAAAAAACCAGATCAAAAATACTGGGCAACAATAGCATACAAATTAGGGGTGGGATAACGAGAGTTAAATTATTCTAAGACCCTTGAATTTTCTGCACACTGATCAATTAGCCCTTGTTAGGTCATGAATGCATGTGAAAACATTTAAAATAACCAACAAAGTACAGATGTAGAGATAGAACTTGCAAAACAGTAAAGGAGGAAAATATGAACTAAAAAACAACAAAAAAATTTAAAAAGTGGCATGAAAGTTTTAAAAAGAACAATAGAAAATGGGGGAAGGTAAAGTAATAGAAATCAACTCAAATATATTAGTAATTACAATCAATGTAAAGTAAATTTGTCATCTGGTTTAAAGATAAAAAGTGTCAAACTGGGAGACAAAAAAGGCATGTTCTCTTTAAAAGAGACACATCTAAAGGATAAGGACACAAAAGGTTGACAGAAAAAGATGAAAAAATGATTATGAGGCAAACATCAAATGAAAGCCAGGACAGCAGCATTCCTGTCAATGAAATAAACAGTAAGACAGAGTATTACTAGAGATAAAGATAGATTCACTAAGATGAAATAATCCAAAACATTCATGGACCTAATTAACATAGCCTTAGAGTATAAAAAACAAGAATTGTTAGTTCCACAGAAGAAACTGTCAAATCCACCATTCTTAAAGAAGATTTCCACATTGCTCCCTTAGTAAGTGATAGCAGAAAACAAAAGCAGAATAGAGGAAGGGAGAAAGGAAGGAAGGAAATAAAATATCTAAAAAGCACAATTAACACCTTCTTTTATCCAATACTAATAAATATAAAAAGAATATTATAACCCCTAAACTAGAGACTATACATCCTTTTCTCCCTTTATAAAAACTGAACATGAACTAGGTCATAAAGCAAGCCTAAAAGTATTTCAAATAACTGTTAGACTGCAATAATGCTAAATTAGAAATCAATAACAAAAAATACAATAACAATACACATAAATACATTGGGTCCCAAGGAAAAACGTATTTCTTAAAAGTGGGTCACAGTAAAAAAAAAAAAAAAGCTTCACAGTCTCTGCCTTAGAGAAACTCTTGCACATGACCATCACGACACACATCGAAAACATTCACAGAAGCAATGCTCAGAGTGGCAAAAGGCAGCGGCAGTCTGGAAGCCTGCTAACAGGACGATGAGTAAGTAAGTTCCCGTGGGCACACGGGAGACCACTGCAGAAAGTGGAAGTTGGCTAGAACTGCATGTACCAATGTGGATGAGTCCCAAATTAGAGCAATATTTGTGGTACAGTTCTGTTTATGCAGAACCAGAAGGATACAAAATTATATAATGTGTTACTCAGAAATTCACTCATTTGTCATAAAATAGGAGAAGAAGAGTAAAGGAGAGAAAGACGACTCAAGAGCGTGCTTATTCTGGGGAGGAGGACGGGGACTTCCACTGGAGAGAAGCGAACGAACAGGCAGCCTCAAGGCGACCAGTTATGTTCTCCCTCTTGAACCAGGTGGGCTGCGTAGGTATTTGGTTAATGGACCTTTATACCTCTCATACATGTCAGAGATCCTCTCTTGTACATAGTCAATGTTTCACACATTCCCAAACCAGGGTGTCTATACCAGCTCTGACTTCCCATTAGCCTATCTCGGCAGACCCTAGTATTCAACAAGTCATTCCTTCCTCTTTGTGGAAGAGAAGAATGATTTTTTTTTGAAAAGTATACTTCTTCTCAAATAAGCTGTTTCATCGTTTAAAGACACCCAAGTTAGAAAGTCTTAAGTGTGCCCTTCTCGCTCCTAGAAGGCTGTCGACACTGCTGGGCTGAATTCCATGTCAAGATTTACCTCAATGTCATAAGACACAGTCATAAGAGAGAGAGGAAGTCTATTTCAGGCAGCTGGACATGCCCGTAAATGAAATGCAAAAAGAGGCCTCCTTAATGATGATTCGGGAATGATTAATGATGGGACAGCTGCCACCTGCCTCCAGGATAACCGGTCACAGGGGTCCACTAAATGCCAAAGAAGCAGGGGTGCTGGGGGCCCCCCTGGCAGGCACATTGTGGCTGCCTGCTTGGGACCAACTGGTTCAATTTTGCTCTAGGGAACCAGGCACAGACACACGACAAAGGCATGTATCTTAGTCGGTTCAGCGGTTCAGGATGCTATAACAAAATACCACAGACTGGGTGGCATATAAACAACAGAAATTTATTTCTCACAGTTCTGGAGGCTGGAACTCCGAAATTAAGGTGCTGGCTGATTCGGTATCTGGTGAGGGCCAGCCTTCTGGTTCACCAGAAAGGATGGCGCCTTCCTGCTGTGTCCCCACATGATAGAAAGGGCAGGGGAGCTCTCTGGGGCCTCTTTCATAAGGGCAGTATTCCATTCGTGAGGTTGTCACCCTTATGACCTAATCACCTCCTACAGGTCCTCCCACAGGTCCACCTCCCACAGGTCCACCTCCCACAGGTCCACCTCCCACAGGTCCACCTCCAAAGACCATTTCGTTGGGAATTAGGTTTCATTCAACACATGAACGGGTGCAGTGGGAGCCACACACCATCTATGGCACCACATAAGATCAGAGGAACTTTAACCACATTTTTGCATGTGTTTAGAAATCCACCTCTGGATCCATCCATCTAACTTAAAAACAAAGACTCATGAGTCACAAGAGGCAACCTTTTTTTCACTGCTCTTTCTTCACCTAAATGAGCTTAAAATAGAAGGACCTGACTCACTGGCGTGCTGTAATGTCACCTCCCCAGGGAGCAGATGCGTGTGGGCGGGGAAAGCTCACTGTTAGGCAACACAAAACACTTCTCTTACCAAACGACAGGAATTCTGGATTATTAGGACTTTTAACCAAGCAAAACGTGACATACCTCATGTTTTAAATCTATTGTAAAGTCGGATTTCAGGGATTCACTCTTTAATTTCTTGGTAAGCCTAGAAAATAGAGACAATTTGATTTTTTAAAAAAACAAAAGAAGTGTCAAACAAGAATAACACATTGTTGAGACTTTCTGATGTTTGAAAACAGATAAACATACAAATTTTAAAATAAAATTAAGAGCTCAATTTCCCTGAGGGAAAGAACTGTGAAAATGCAATGGTTTTGACCAATAAATGAATGCGAGACTTTCTTGCAAATGTAGCATTATTTCAACATCTGCCCGATAATGTAAGATGCAATACAATAAATAAGATACCTTGAAAAAGAAAAGCCATGACGTTTGTTGACTCCTTAACAGTAAGTAATGACAGAGAAAGAAAAAGAAATGGGGTAAAAGTGTACTTGAGAGAGAAACGAACACTGTTACTTTTTGTCTCCTACCTGAATGACAGATCGAGGGGTTTTTATGGGGAAAAAATGTGTGGCTCCAGGAAAGAATAACAGTTTTATTTCAAGTCATTTTCTTGTTTAAAAAATCTTCAACGGCTCTTTTCCCATGGAGAATAAAGGCTCAAATTCCCGAGCCAGCCTGGAGGGCCCCAGCCCCGCCCCCGCCCTCCCCAGAGCCTTACGCCCACTTGCCATACCCAGGCACACGCCTCGCCACTGCTCCTGCCCTGCACACCTGCCTGGTGTGCCCACGCCCAACCTCTACTTAGCAAACTTTTCTTTTTCAAGACCAAACTCAAGGACACTTTCTCTGTGAAACGTTTCCAGACCTGCCCACCAGAATAAGCGGAAGCTTCCTTTGCTCTGAGAGCACAAAGCACAGCCCTGGGAGCTTTGTCACATGCATTAAAACCTGCTGTGCGCACATCCCTCTCTGTGCCTACTTTCTGTGTGTCGCCAGCACCACCCACCCTACCTGGGCAACGAAAGCACTCGGGGAGCCCTGAACTAACGAGGGCAATAGACTCTCTCCTTCCACGCTGACTGGGGTAGAACTACATGACTAGCTCACTTCAATACCACGTGGTTCTGTATTTGTTTACAGAGCTGGAGACTAGACCATCAGTTGCAATTACAAACCTCCTAACGCCTAGTTCAACTACAAAGAAATAACAGTGATTTTAAAAAGGAAGCATAGTAATAAGTTTCAAAATTTTTTTATTCAGTTTTTAATTACATCTTAGTCTGGCTGGGCCATGAAATAGCTCTCTAAAAATTCATTTCTGATTAGAGGAAAGATAAAGAAGGTAGACAGGTTAAATTTATACTTTGTTATAAAGCATTTGTCTTGTGGTTGAAGCTAACATAGCCTGGGACCCAAAGCAGTCCCTTGTGATACCTGTCCCATTCCTGTTCGGTGTCTGCTCACAGCTCCCTGAGTACCCGTGGGCAGCACTCAGAGAGAGACGGCATCCTCAGACACACTCTCGAGACATGCATTAAGAGAAACAATGAATGCCCTGGCAAGTGGGATCTTGTCCAATTTGAATTCTTCTCAGTTGGAGCCAGTTTTCATAACTGTATCAAGGTAACTCTGGAATTTGGACTCATGCCTCAGGCCTTCAAAATCTGATCAGACCACAGAGAGTTAGAATTCATATCTCATTCAGACTCCAAAGACCGAATGAGAGGACAAGTCATACCCAGGCTTATTGCCACAGCAAGGGTCTCAAGTTGTGATTGGAATCTAAGTGGCATGTGACGTCCACTGTTGGATGGCCACGTCTCATATGCCCCTTCTTAACAGACAGTAAACACCTTAGAATTGCGACCTGAAACATGCTCTCCATTTTTCAACATTTCAAAGTTTCTTTCTCAACCAATTCTTGAAATTTTTTCTTTGAGGGAGAGCTCAGAGGGAGAAAACATGGAAACCACTGCTAGAATTTCTCTGAGACAGACAAAGACTGATTAGAGGACAAATAAATATGTACAGTGATATTCTGAAGTGGCTCTTGCTCTCGCAGCCCAGGGAGTGTACCATAGCCAAGTCACGTCACCTACACATCACAAACGTCTTGCTGAGGCGTTAGCCTCGGAGCCACCTCACGCCTAAGTCAGGCACCGTGCAAATGTGTTCAAGTTCTAAGAGTATGCAGGGTGATTAAGCAACTTAAAAGGCAATTGTTAATAGTGGTAGGTAGGTTTCATTTTTCTATATACCAAGCAAGATAGCACAGGGTTTTTCCAATACTAATTTCAGTAACTAACAATGCCAGAAATCCCAGTTACTTAGAATAAAATGTTACCTTATTAAATATTCCATTCCTGGCAAATAAGACATTTTTGGTACTCAGCTTTCCTAATTTTTAGAAGGTATTAAGTCATACCCCCAATAGCACAGTTCTAATGACACAACCAGCTAGGCTGCGGATGTGCGGAAAGACTGAGGGACCCTTTGACTCAATAACAAGCAAACTTCCCAGCTGACTTTTCTAGTCCCACTTGTGAACCAGCCAACAGAGGAAGGTATTAAAGGAAATTCACACTAGGTTTGCCGGTGGAAAAATAAGAGAAAACTAGCTATAGCATTCTATAACGACACATATTTGAGGAAAACATGTTATTGGAAATTAATGAAAGTTTCTCCAAAGATGCAAGTCTTTTTTTTATTGATCACATGGAAGGATAACCAGGAAATGTTGGACAGTGTGAATTTAAACCTCACTGATGTGGGATTGCTAGGCGAAATAATATTTTCCATGGGAAACAGTCTTAAAAAGTATGGGTCACGAAATGTCTTTAAGTAACCCGTCGTCCTGGTAACTTGGGCAGAAGAAATACTTATGTAACTGTAAATTGTTGCCCTATCTACAGAGTGGGACATAAAGTCAGGTGAAGGAGACAGAGGTAATCAACAACCCAAATAGTGGGCACTGTCGGTTACCTAGACAATACAGAGTCCCCCTTTCCTTCTTCCTAAATACATTGTGATTTTGATTAACTATTGAGCCCGACAATTAAATGGGCTCCAGAGTCACAACCTGGTGAGTCTGGAGTCTGCACCAAGCAAAGTGCTGAAACCACAAGAGGAACCAGATTCAGGCAAACTGATACTGTGCACTATCAGGCAGGAGAGACAGTGAGAACCGGGTCCTCAATAACACTGTTGAACTCCTGCATCCACCAACTATAGACCTTGTGTCCAATATAACAATATTTCCTTTATCCAGTTTGAATTGTTTTCTGTTACTTGCATCCAAAAGCATGCTAACTAATATAGTTCCTAATAAAAGAAGGAAATAAAGTCAGCATATTAGCTTTGGAATTAGGAAAAACCAACTTCCAATTAGGAAGATCCAATTTTGCAGCTGATAGGGCTAATGCTTCCTCTAGTTCTAAGTGCAATACCAATTTCTTGAAGAGTAGTTAAGAACCTCCTATTAAAAAACCATTTTAAAATACATCTTGGCCACCAGGTAGCTGTTATGCCAGATGGGTTATATTATTTTATTTGCTTGATTACTTTTCTACATCAGTAGAAAAAGGAAATATGGTCTCAAATAACTAGAATTTTTTATTTCATGCTATGTTAGAGTCTACATTTTTATTTTGTTTTGTTTTTGCTGGCAGGGGAAAAGGAGGAGAGGCGGGGAGAAGACTGTGGGTATTAATTAACTATACACACATTCTACAGTTTGCTAGAAGAGCAGACGACACAGGATACGGAAGGTTATCTGTTGCCTCATTCCTCTCCCGTGTTGAATCCATGGGGGAAGTGCTGGGAATTTTCTGAACTTTGTGCAAAAGATGAGTCTCTTGGCCCCAATTCCCTTAGCCATAGTTCCCTATGTGCTATGGTCTGAATGTCTGTGCCCCCCCAGAATTCCTGTTGAAACCCCAACCCCCCCAATGTGATGATATCAGGAGGCAGGGCCTTTGGGAGGTGATTAGGTCGTGCGGGCAGATCCCTCATGAACGGGACTAGTGCCCCTATGACAGAGGCCACAGAGAGACCCCTCCGCCCTTCCGTCATGTGAGGACACAGCGAGAAGGTGCTGTGAACCAGAAAGCGGGCTCTCACCAGACACTGAATCTGCCAGCACCTTGATCTTAAACTTCCAGCCTCCAGAAACGTGAGAAGCAAACTTTTGTTGTTTATAAGTCCCATATAAGTCCCCATGTAATATTATGGTATTTTGCTGTAGTGGCCCAAACAGACTGACATACCTACTCACCCTGCTAGTGACGAGCCCTCCGTTCTCTCTCCTTTCCCAGCAGAGAGCACTGTTAAGTTGGGGGATCTGAGACCCCTGAGGAAGCTGGGCACTAGGCTACCTTCCTTTGCCAATGGATACACGTTCAATGACCTCGCAAACACACAACAGGGAGGGCAATCATGGGCCCATGGTCTCCTGTGGGACCACCTTGAAGAGTGTCATGTAACCCATAACACAGAGTTTTCCTCTTAACAAGGCCAACATGTTAGTTAGGCATAACCTGCAAGCCTGGTTCACAAAGCCCCTGGCAGTTTGTCACACGGTGAGCAGGAGATGGTTATGGGGTGAGCACCACCCAGGGCCAACAGAACATGGCTCTGTACCTATGAGCAGTGAGGCCAGAGCGCAGAGTCCATAGACTCAAGAGGTTGTGCAGAACAGGTGAGACTAGAGCGCCAGCGCATCGAGCAATACGAGTTTGGGCTCAAACATCCTATACAAGGATATTAGGAGTCAAAGGAGATCACTTCCATCCAACTGGTTAAAAATATAAGTCAAAAGGGAAGCAAAAATAGTTACTTATAACACCTATACCAATAAAAACTGAATTGAGGGCTCCAAGAAGGCCTCTGCTAGAGGAAGATGGGGCAATTGTGATGGGAAGAAGGAAGACAAAACTCTGTAGACCAGCAGCATTTGCCTGCAGCATGAGAGGCCTCCTGGAGCAGAGGAAAGGGGTGGAGAAAGGAGGTATATGGGCTTCAGAGAAGTGGTTACACCCCCCAGGGCCTGCTGTACAGGGTCTTCCTATGTCCACTGATTTCCTTGTTGGCCCAGGAAGGAAGCCGTGGCACTCACAGCATTTCACAGGACAGTTTCAGCTGTGCTTGCTCCTCTTTCAAGGGACTTAGCTGGACTACGGGGACAGGAGAGAAGCAGCCTCAGGAAGAGCTCATACCGAGAGTCAGAGAGATGACAGCCACATGGGACTCTTCCCGTGGAGAAGTCACACCAAATCATTCCATGCCATGAAGCAAAGTAGAGAGAGAGGGAGGGAGGGCTAGAGGAAGGCTTGGTGGCCGAGGGTGGGAAGAATACTGAAGGGACAAGAGCAGTGCCTCGGCCCAGAGGCTGCAGCTCAGAGCTTCTGTTCTTTGAGAGTCCAGACTGAGCAAAAGGAGCTGAACTGGCACCAAACACAAGGCTGCTGGACATGGCAGGAAAAGAGTATACTGGAAGCTCCTGGTCTTAAAGCTGCAGCAAACCAAGTTCATTTAACTTGAGAATAAATACGACCTTGGGCTGCTGCTCTCCTTTACAGAGATCAGTAGAGGGTAAGATGAGAATGACAACTACCTCTTCTTATCTTCCCCTCCCCTTTCTCCCGGAGCCTTCCAAGAATGGAGGGGGAAGCTGTGCAGAGCCTCTTAGCCATGCTTGGCACGAGCTGGGAGGAGGGCATCCTTGCCCGGCAGGCCCAAGACTGGGTACACGTACCAAGGCTCTTAGTTGGAGACAAAAGAATCCACTCTGGATAGTTAAAGCACAAAGTGCATTTATTAAGGCATCTAGACGGCTCACAGAATTACTGGAAAGTCTGAGCAGAGAGACTCTAAGCTGAGATTCCAAGAACAGCCCCCAGATGCCCAGCACAGAAAGCAGCAGTCTGGGAGCTTCAGGCTCTGGCACCATCAGGAAGCTGCTGCATCAGGAGGCCAGTCTCAGGGGCCGACCCCCAAACGACCCTCCCTCTGCCGTGACCGCTGGAGCCAAATGGTCCCCTGTGCTTTGCTTACCTCCCCGCACAACTCAGTTCCCAAAAAGAATTACAGAGTGCATCTACCAGATAGAACCAGCAGCATACAGGTGCTCCCTAGCAGCAAGGAAGCTAGAAAACATAGGGGGTTTTGTTGTCGTGTTGTCTGGATCCCACACTGGAAAGGTGGGTATTACACTGTAGGGAACTTTCAAATCTGAAGGGAGTGGTCAAGAAGTTTTGGCCAGACATCAGTGATAAGGTATCTCATACGCTGTATATATCTCCAATGGCCTAAAAAGTTTTTCAAGTCCCCAAACCCTAGAAACAGAACACTTAATAATAGAAGCCTTTCATCTCTGCAGCTATAAAAGCCACAAGTGCTCTTTGAACTTTCTATCCCTTTGAGAACAAAACACGTAACAATTTGTCTGAAATATTCAGACTAAGAAAGGGCCTGTCAACGACCATATTTCTCCTGAATTACAACTTAATCATCTTCACTTTCCACGTCTTACAAAGCATCACTGTGATCACACACACGAACAGCTGGGTATGACTGCCTCCCGTGCCTTTCTCGAGCTGTCCCTAACGCCCGCCCGTGTCTAAGGACACACACCCATGCACACGACCAGCCATCAACCCCTACTCCAGCGTGTTACTGATTTGTTTTCTCACTGGCGATCAAAGTTATACCTATGGCAAACTAGGTCTCTCAACAATGGTAATGACGCTTCCTGCATCTGTTCTCAGGGCACTTTATGTGCTCTCCCTCAGTCTCACAACTTGTTATTTGCCTTACTTTGCAGGTGAGTAAGAAGGACAGAGGTTGAATGATCTGTCGCAGGGGTTCAGTAAGTGACAGAGCTGAAGCAAGAACCCGCAGACGTCTGGCTCCATGGCCAGGTCTTTCCACCCCTCCCCCACACTGCCTCTGGCTGAAAACTATTTGAGATCCTGAGAGCCATCAGTTATAATATTTGGTGAAATAAAAGTTGATCTACACTCCCACTGCCCCAAAAAAGAAGAGTAATAAATTCTTACTTGTTTACAAGTGGGAAACTAAGGGCCCAACCAGCAGCAAAATCTGGATATTTAAAAACTGCAGGATTTTCAGAAAAGGCGTAATGGTGAATTATTGTAGATTCTTCATCATGCAATGCTTTTCCTAAAAACCATTCCTGTTAAATAAAAATATAAAATATCGTTTAAAAAAAAAAAACACATTTTACACAAGACCGAAACCAAAATCATATGATTAATTTTAGCTAAACATTTTGAGTGATAGTTATTAGCACAGAATACATATTTCTATAGAATTTAAGCAAAAATACAATTAACATTATTGCGATAATAAATACACCATAATTTTTGTACATAAAGAAAATAGTTCAAGATCTTATCAAGATGAATAAAATGTTAATCATTATACAATAAATGTATAAAAATGGCATTTTACAGAATATTCCACATAAAAGACTATTAAGTCAAAAAAAAATAGTGTTCCCTTATACCCCACTGTGATTTTCAAAGAAGAATTTGAAAACTTCCTTCCAGAATCAGTGCCTATTTTATTCATTTATTTATTCATGCAAATGATATTTATTGAGACTCTAGCACACACCAGGCAGAGACACAGCTTACAATGGTGTGGAAAGATGGAAATCAGGCAAGTGAATAACTTCAGGTATGGACTGAAATGTGCTGTGATGCAACTAGAACGGAGTGACCAAGGGCTGCCCTGGAAGGCGGGCAATCTCTCACAATGTAACAAGTGAACTGAGGTGAGATAATATCCAGGAGCCCGAAGGGGAAGAATCTAGGGAAGAGCAGTCACAGCAGTTAATGCGAAGTCCCTGAGGTGGGAAAAAGCTTGATACATGAGATTAAAAGAGAAATCAAGAATGGTTGGACCTACTAGGCGTGGGGAATAAGGTATGAAAGAGACAGGCAGGAGGCAGACCATCTATGTGCCAGAGGACAGGAGCATAAACTTTATTCTAAGTGCAAAGACTTCCACTTCTGGCCATGATAGGATAGTCTGGATCAGACCTACTCTACCCTGAGAACAAAAATAAGTGCTGGAGAATTACATAAAGCAGATGATTGCAGCCATCAGAAAACAACAAAGGCAGATAGGATAAAAAGGGCTCAGATCCCAGAATTGGAAAGCCCACCCCTGGGAACTCCACAGTGGCCTCCTCTTTCCCTCAAGGAATGTGTGGATTCCTGGAGCTTGAACAGCATGCAGCTCAAAGTAGCAGCCAGGACTCCTGCAGTCTTGCTGGACTAGAGGCTGGGGCTGGAGACTGCCAGGGAGGTAGAGATTTAAGGGATCCCAGAGAAATGAGCCCAGGAGTCTGCACACAACTTTCTCTTAATGACCTAGGCTGCACAAAAGCCAAGAGAAAAAGCAAGAACCAAGCAGAAAGCAGCCGTGGGGAGGCTACAAAGCTGAGCAAAGCCCTTCACAGTCTTGTAGTGCTGGGAAGATCAAGGCCAGAGTTCAGGATCTACCAGGAAAAGGGATCTGGACCTACCCAAACAAGGTCTACAACCCAAAGAATATTAAATCCTCCTGTAGCTTCGAAGCTGCTATCATCCACAGCCTCCTTGATTTTTCACACAAAATATGTGACAGCCAAAAATTACCAGGCAGGGCAAGAACAAAACCAAACCAAAAAGAAAGAGAAAAAATGAGAACTAGAAAGACATGCACAGATAAATCAGATTTTACAGTTATTGAACAAGACTTTTAAATAACTATGATTAATATGTTTAATAAAACAGAGAAAATATGGAAAATTATACCAAAGAACTAGAATTTTTAAACAATAGTCAAGTGAAAATCCTAAAACTGAATAACACAAGCACTAAAGTTCGGAATCTGAAAGGATCTTAAACACAACAGAAGAGATGATTAGCGACGTGGAAGGTAAGTCAGTAAAAAAAATATCCAAACTGAGGGACAAAACGGAAACCAAAAGCAAGACAGTAAAGGATGGAGTGTAAGGCAATACCGTGTTTCCCCAAAAATAAGACCTACAAATAAAATAAGCCCTAGCAGGATTTCTAAGCATTTGCGCAATATAAGCCCTAACCTGAAAATAAGACCTAGTAATGGGCGTGGCTATGCAGCGTATCTGCACAACCCATGCATTTTGTCGCAGAGCGGTAAAGAAGATGAGCAGCCCTTCTCATCTGCCCATGAGAGCTCTATTGCTCAACATGAGAGATTGGGGCCAATGGTTCTAAAGAAAACACAGTCGCAAGAAATTCAGGATGGAATTCGGGGTTTGGAGAATTATGATGATGTTCCAGAAGAAGACGACTTAACTCTATTTGAATAAATGTAGATTGTTGTACCATACTTACAAAAAAAAAAAAAAAAACCCACATCCCCTGAAAATAAGCCCTAGGGTGTCTTCTTGAGTAAAAATAAATATAAGACCCTGTCTTATTTTCAGGGAAACACAGTATGAGACACAGTGAGACACAGCAAAATTGGAAACTAGGACAGGAGGAGAGAAGGAATGGAAATGAAGCAATATTTGAAGACATACAGGTTTAGAATTTTCTAAAACTAAAAAAAGTCATCAAGCCATAGATTCAAGGACCTCTATAAGTTCCAATCAGGAAAAATACAAAGACAACCAAACAGAGGAACATGATGGTAAAACTGTTGAAAACCAAAGAGAGAAAAGTCTTAAAATCAGCTGGGGATAGGGGGCGAGGGTTAAAGAGTGGTTAGAGAGCATACACCTTTTTTCCAAAGAACAAAAGCAACATATACAGTTGATTTTTCAACAGAAATAATGAAAGTTGAAAGACAATGGTACAACATCTTTATAGAGATGGAAGAAAATTACTGTCAACCTAGAATGCTATATCCAGGGAAAGTATTTTAGGTGAAATGGGAAATCACTGGAACAGGAAAACTGTTAGGAGGCTCTAATAATGGTCAAGGCAAGACACGATGGTACCCTGCACTAAGTGGTAGTAATAAATATGGAGAGAAGATGAATGAGAAATATATTTTAGAAGCACCCCCAGCTGGACATGCCAACATGGAACTGAAGGGGAAAAAAGGAGCCAATCCTGAGTCGTAGGTTTTCACATGAGCAACTGGATAGTCAGTGATGCCCTTTCTGAGACAAGGAGGATTGAAGATGGAAGAGGTTTGGAAAACACTGGAGGTCAGTTTGAGTATGTCAAGTTTAAGGTTTCTATTGCATAAGCAGGGATATTAATGTTAAGCAGGAAGTTCACTACAGGAGTAGGGAGCACATGGCTAACTCCCTCAGTTCCTCCACACTCTGCTCACATGTGATCTAATGCAGGGAGGTGCTCCCTGAACACCCTATATAGACTAGTAAGCCCACCCTGATCCACCCCTCACCCACTTAATTCGCCTATTTCTCTGTATAGCACTTATTACCATTTGACACATTATATATTCATTTGCATTTTTGCTTATTGATCTCTCCCCTGAAACAAGAATATCACCTATTTGTGGGCAAGAATGCTGTCCATTTTGTTAACTACTGTATTCGCAGCATGCCTTAACATGTAACCAGTGCTCAATAACTTTTTGTTAAGTGAATGGAGCAAGCCCAGGAGAGACTTAAGGGTAACTCCTCCCCATTGAAGAAACTAAAGCACATAATTTAAATCAGGTACCCTAAGTTCTAAAAGTTTAGTATATTTTCTCTCTTATCCAACCAGTGCCACTCTATTATGTATCCGAATATGCAAGCAAGAAGGGTACAGTATTTGAGTACTCTTAAATATTTCTTAAGAGTTTTATTCTGCTTGTGGTTGTATCCCAAATACCTCCCAGAGTTCTAGTTTTGGTCAATTCAGCAACAGGTCATAACTGAACATGTGTGACAGCTATTAATGTTTAAATCTGACATTAAAACTGTACATTTAGATTCACAGATCCATATGATGACTTTCTTCTTGATACTTTGTCTATGGATATATTACATCATTATTCGATGAGAAGAATTTTCAGTAACAACCAAAGTAAATGACCTCAGCTTGAAAGAGAAAACTCGACATTTAAAAAAGTTAATAATATAGCTGTTTATCAAACTACTAAACCTTAACCAATATGAAAATCACCACATTTAATATGCTGTGCCAACATAGCTTGTATAAAGGAAATGAACACCTCAGTATATTTTGGAAATTTTTTTTGTTCACTAATTAAAACGCACCGTATTCTAAGCAGTAATGTGAATCCTGCTATGGTTTATTTGTCAACATTTCAGCTATGTATGCGTGTTTTTTATGATTGTTTTTTCACTTTTTAGGAGTAGAAGGGAATAATTTTTTGTTTTTTTTTTTTTTTTTTAGCACTGTTCATATTAATTAAAAGCACTCCTCCGAGTAATTGTCTTCAGTGACTTTCTTAATATTCTTCTCATGAAAAGGACAATTATAATCAAGATAAATTTAAAAGAATAACTCAGACAACTTTTCTTACTAGCTATCTTAGATATTTTTTTTTTTATTTTTCTTTTTTATGTGTTTTATTTCCTGTGTGTGTTTTGATTTTTATATTTATTTATAGTCATTATACATCTCTTTATTCATCATATAACTAAATACTGCCAGTGTGCTCATTTTTTCTGTTCTGGGATGTCCTATGGCTATGAGATATTTCTGAGCCTTGGCATTTCTCATAGTATCTGCTTGGGTTTTATATATTATTGACCTCGTTTCTCTTATTATTTGTATAAATATTCTAGTCCTTGGTGTTTCGGTCTGGTGCTGTGTGTGTCCATATTTTTTACTTTGATGCTTGTTGTCTTAGGAGATTTTTTACTTTGTGTCTTCGATAGTGTGTGTTTTGCAGGAGCTTTTTGATCTTACTTTATCATATTTTCTTTATTGCTCTATGTTGTGTGTTTGTGATCTGCCTGAATGTAATCCAATTATATTTAGTTGTTTTTCTGTGGATATTATGGAAAAATAGGTTTGGCTTCATAACAATGGATACTTAATGCTATAGATATTCTTATGACGCAATTTTGCATAGGTTATTAAGTTTTTGATATTAAGAATTTATTAGAGTTAAATTTTTGAAATCTATTTACTTTAGATACGGTAGCTTAACTATGAAAATTTAGCCAGTTTAGTGAGAGAATGTAGTAAGAGATTTGATAGAAGAGATATCAGAGTCAACAGAAATCCGTTTACTTCTTTAAGGTGGTAGGGGTAATTGTCTTTTTTGCTTAGCTTATTTGTATAAATATCAAAGAGTGTTGCGTTAATAGCCTTTTTTTCCTAAGATTTTAGAATAGTAGGGGGAAATATACTGGTTTGAGCTAGCTTCAACATTATGTGATCGTTATGTATTCTTAATGCTAGTTTTCAAAAGAAATAAGCATCCTATTTTTTTTTCCGACATGGCAGACTCGAAAAGAGGGGGAAATGTCTCCTTTTACTCCTGGTTGCTGTATTGCCTTTCATGAACTGCTTTGAACTTTAGTTAATTATCATCCCAATTTCATTAAAAGCACTGTAGTCAACCATCTTTCTGTAACAGAATTAGAGCTATGGATAACAGGAAAAATAATTCCAGGTGAAATGAACACCTAGGAGGAGTTAAACATTGCCTACATCCTCAAAAAAGATTTGGATTTTTCATCAAGTCAAAGGAAACACTCAAACTTACAAATGGGTTTGGTACATGAAAACATGCAAAAAGAGAGACGCTGCGTCAGCTCATGGCTGACCAGACAGATGAGAAGGGTCTATAATTGTTCTCTTCTTTGAAGGAGCTATTTTTTTGTAGCGTCTCAGATGAACCTTTCGCGTCGCAATTATTATCTGTGCTTCGACGATCGCAGAGAGCATGAAGGAACATAATAGATTCGTTCCAGTATGTACAAGTCATCAAAGAGTGGTCTTGTAAGGCGGTGAGTAGTCAGAGACGTGTTCCCTGTGTTGAGAATCCAATCTAGAATGAGTGCAGTGCTTGCCCACTTGTCTCCATCGTACATCAGTAACACACGCAGCGGCCAGAGAGGTTGCCTTTCATGCTCCGTGTGCTCATTAACCTCTTTTTTTGGGATTTGGGCATCAGGATGCTAGTGGTGGGTCAGTTGCCAATGGGTACGCAAAGCGGTCCAACTCTGGCTCTTCCCAAGGTTTAAAGAACTCCATAAAGTGATGAGGATTGTTGACCTGTAGCCTTTCAGACGAAGATGAGTATGAGCCTGGTTTCTTGTTTTTGTTGGCTTTTTTTTTTGAGACAGGATTCGGCTTGTTGCGCCCGAGGCTATGAGTGCTAAGTGCGCGGCGTGCAGCCTTACACGCAAACTCGAAGCTCCTGGGCTTAAGCAATCTGGTGCCTCAGCCTCGAGTAGCGGACTGACAGGCTGCCACCGCGATGCCCGGCTGAATTCGCGTTCTTGGTTAGTGATATAGCTTGTCATATAGTTGTGTGGGCCAATTACATTTCCTGTTTCGCTATTCTTTATCAGTAGAACGGTGTAGTCGTGCGCTTCAGTGGTTGGTTGAACTCGCTGAACCGTGAGCATCCGCCGCGCTCAGCCTACCCAGGTGCTGTTAGATGTCAAGCGTGACGCGACATGCGCGCGTGCGTAGCTGATGTTTTACTCTTGAATACACGATCTCCAAGGCAGCGTAGGGCTCTCGTCAACCTGCCGAGCCCGTGTTGTAGTTAGCCGAGCAGTACTCAGCTGACACCGACTAGTGCTAGAGCCACTCTGCTCAGGGGCCTAGGATTTTGGAGTGAGAACAGATGACTGATATCTTGCAGCCCCGATTATATTAATATGATTTATTTTCAAATAAGATTTGAAAATACAAAAGCAGTAGTGAACTTCATTGAGTTACTCTAATGCAAGATTCGTCCCTTCTCACCTCCATTCCTTCTTGAATAGTGTTCCCTCTGCCTGGGAGACCCTCCTTCTCTCCAATTAAGGCCCACTCACCTGACAGCACTCAGATTAGATGTCACTTCCTGCCCTGACCCTCCCAGATTAGGTTCAATGCCCTGCTGCATGTGTCTGACAGTACCCTGTTCTCCCTTCCTGTAGATGTCTCGCTTTTAACTGTCAGTGTTTTTCTCAGACGGTCTGTCCCCGCCTGCTATTCTGTCCCGCCCACGTGGTCAGGGTCCTTGTCTGTTTTGCTCTAGCCTCTGCCATCCACAGTCCTCAATGTGTGATTGGTATTCAAAATATATTCCTACCTAAAATAAAATGTGGTCACTGTCTGATGAAGAGAAATAACCAATTTAACTTTATTTCTAAGGTAAGCTGCTTCTGAATTCTAGCTTATCGTTTTTAACTCTCTGAAATTACTAACCCGCATAAACATTCTTTTCCCTTAAAATGGCTCATTATAAATTACATCCCTCTGTAAGCTACAAACCTCAAAGAGAATCACTTAACACAGCTTCCAGATATTCAATAATCCTTCGTCCTTTTTAATTTTAAATTAAGTGCTTTTTATTAGATTTGAAAACCTTTTAATCAAAATTAAACCTTCTTTGAAGCATTGTCCCAAAAGATAAGTACTGGCACTGAGGTTATATTCACCTTTGAGGGGTCGTATCTGCTGAATGTTTCTAAGAGTTTTGGAATCCGTATTCTTGTCTCTTCTTCAAAGAAGAAAATCCATGATGAATTTCTGCTGTATGTTACAGAAAAGCTGATAAGAAGAAAGAGGTTATAGTCACCACTTCTGTAAAATGAGTTTACAGTAAGGTTTAAAACTGGTAAGTAGGAAACGGAGGAGGGCATACAGAATGGCAAGATACCTAGTTTTTTCCCTCTATATTTTTCCTCCATGTATAGTTAGTTTCAGCTTATAGGAGAGTCCAATAGTAATGGTTTATAAAACATTTAGGGTTCTTAAGTTTAGGTTCTCTCCATAACACCAACAATTCAGAAGAAATTTCAAATATCAATTTTTTAATAAAGATTATTTAATAAATATTTTAAATATTTACATTTAAAATATTATATAACTATAAATTTACATTAGTAAGAATGACTAAAAGATATTGGAAGAAAATAATCAGAATCAAACAAAATACTTGATACCCTTAACATATTACATAATTATTATTTTGCTTAGCTTATTTGTATAAAAATCAAAGTCAGTTTTGCTTTATACTTTTTTCCTAAGATTTCAAATAGTAGGGGGAAAATCATACTGGTTTGAGCTAACTTCAACATTATGTAATCGTTATTATTCTTTAATGCTAGTTTCAAAAGAAATAAAGCATCCTATATTTTTTTTCCACATGGCAGAGCTCAGAAAAGAGGGGGAAATGTCTCCTTTTACCTCTGTTTTGTACTTGCTTTTCATGAACTTGCTTTGAACTTTTAAATTTATCATCCCAATTTCATTAAAAAGCACTGTGAGTCACCATCTTCTGTACAGAATTAGAGCTATGGATAACAGAAAAATAATCTCCAGGTGAAATGAACACTAGGAGGAGGTTAAAACTCCTACATCCTAAAAAAGATTTGGGAGTTTTTCTCAAGTCAAAAGGAAACATAAAAACTTAACAAATGGTTTACATAAAACATGGCAAAAAGCAGAGACGCTGGTCAGCATCATCTGACCAGACTAGATGAGACAGGTTCATAATTCTTCTCTTCTTTGAAGGAGCTATTTTTTTTAATCTAATGACCTTCTCCTTCAATTATATCTGTAGCTTCCCAGAATCAAAAGCATGAAGAGAAACTATAATAGATTCTTCCAGTATGTAAAGGTCATCAAAAGCAGTGGTTTGATAATGGTATAGTCAGAGACTTTCCTGTGTTTGAGAAATCAATCTAATGATCATTGTTGCCCAACTTTCTCCATCTACATCAGTAACCACGCAGGTGCCCAGAAGGTTGCCTTTCATCTCCCGTGTGTTCATTAAACCTGCTTTGTTTTGGGATTGGGCATCAGGATATGGTGGGTCAAGTTTCCAATGGGTACCAGAAGGGTCCAACTCTGCTTATCCCAAGTTTAAAGAACTCCATAAAGTGATGAGATTGTAACCTAGCCTTTCAGAGAAATGAATGAGCCTGATTTACTCTTTTTTTTTTAGAATTGCTGCGCGAGAGCGCGTCTAGAAGTAGCTGCATTTTATTCAGTTAATATCTATTCATTAATAGTTACTAATGAAATGCAATATTACTTGTATAGATTTAGATTATATTTAATACTGATATACTAATAATAATATAGCTGCATTTTAAATCAAGCTATTTATTTTTTTGAGTGGTCAGTTCTTACTTAGATTCTTTGATGGTTGTTTTTTCAGGAGCTCCCCAGCGTCCTCCTCCTCCATCAGCTGGCCGAGCAGGAAGGTGCCTGGACTGTGCTTCCGCTGCTGCCGCAGTACGTTCAGGCTCCAGAATGTGTAACTCACGCGCCCCGCGTCTGTCCCAACATCCACTCCCAGCTCTCCCTAGTTTTTCTTTAGAAATGAGGGTGGTGTTTTTCCTCAGTCAGTAAGTGAAGTAAACGTGAATTTTACTTTTTATGATTACTACATGAGCCAAATTTCTTGACGATTGCTTCTTTTTTTTTTTTTTGTTTTGTGAGCCAGAGTCTCAGTCTGTTGTGCCCAGTGCTAAGTGATGCGTGCCAGCCTAGTGCCTCACAGCAACCTCGAACTCCTGGGGGCTCCAAGCGTGCCTCCTGCCTCCCGTAGCCTGGCGACTTAGGTCACATGCCACCAATTGCCCGGCTAATTTTTTCTATTTTTAGTTATGTTTGCTTATTCTTTCTTTTTATAGTAGAGAGCCATGGGTCCTCGCTCTTGCTCCAGCCCCGCTTCATCTTGAACTCCCTGATCTTGAAGGGGCATAGCCTCGCCGCCAGCGGGCCTTCCCCAGAGTGGCTAAGATGTACCAGGTGTGAGCCACCACGCGCTGGCCCCTTGATGATTGATATTCTTAATCATTGGATAGCTATCATTCTTTAAATATGGCTTTTTTTCTTAAAAAGATAAATATTTCAAGGTTGATATTTGAGAGAAAGTTGGATATTAGTTGAGACTATTTCGTGGTTCTGAAGGATTTGTTGTGTGTGTGTGGAGATGAACCTATAGACAACTTAAATGAACGCCCATATTGAATGAATATATGAATAGGTACAGAACACCCACATTACTATTTGCGTTGAATAACCTCTTCCTATAAGCAGGAGTGTTTACAGTAGGTATTGTTAAAACTGAGGACTATTACATTAGGAACACCAGAGGAGGGCATACAGAATGGCAAAAACGATAACCCTTAGTTTTTTCCCTCTATATTTTTTCCTCACATGTATCACGTAGGTTTGCAGCTTAATAGGGAGTCCAATATGTAAACTCGGTTTATAAAACATTTAGGGTTCTTAAGTTTAGGTTCTCTCCATAACACCAACCAATTCAGAAGAAATTTCAAATATCAATTTTCAAATATCAACTTGAAATATTTTATCTTTTAAGAAAAAAGCATATTTAAAAATGATAGCTATCCATGATTAAGAATCAATCATCAAGGGCCAGGCGTGGTGGCTCACACCTGTAATCTTAGCACTCTGGGAGGCCGTGGCGGGAGTATTGCTTAAGATCAGGAGTTCAAGATGAGCCTGAGCAAGAGCGAGACCCTGTCTCTACTATAAAATAGAAAGAAATAAGCCAAACAACAAAAAATAGAAAAATTAGACGGGCATGGTGGCATGTGCATCATAGTCCCCAAGCTTACTCGAGTGAGGCTGAGGCAGGAGGATCGCTGGAGCCCAGAGAGTTCGAGGGTTGCGTGAGCTACTGGCGACGCCCATGGCACTCTAGCCCGGGCAAACAGACTGAGACTCTGCTCTCAAAAAAAACAAAAGAAGCCAACTCGTCCAAGCAAATTTGTGCGTCATGTAGTAAGTCATAACAAGGTAGAAATTCCACCGCGTTTACTTCACTTACTGACTGAGGAAAAACACACCCTCTTTCTAAGAAAACTAGGGAGAGTGAGGGTGTTGGGCAGACGCGCCCGTGAGTTACACATCTGAGCTGAACGTACTGCGGCAGCAGCGGAAGCACAGTCCAGGCACCTTCCTGCTCGGCCAGCTGATGGAGGAGGAGGACGCTGGGGAGCTCCTGAAAAAACAACCATCAAAGAATCTAAGTAAGAACTGACCACTCAAAAAAATAAATAAATAGCTTGATTTAAAATGCAGCTATATTATTATTAGTCATATATGATTAATATAGATTAAATTATACAATTAATATTGCCTTCATTAGTAACCTATTAATGAATATGATATTATACTGAATAAATGCAAGCTACTGTCTAGAGGCCTTTACGCAGAATCTTCACGCCACTCTCCTTCTGCTCTCATTCTCTCCAGGACCTACTGGCAGGGAAGCATTTCAGCTGGATTCGCACCGACCTCTCCACTCGA